CCCGGGGCCTCGGGGCGCGTGAACGGGCGGCCCGGGAGCCCCGCACGTGGCGCGCGGCCGCTTTGCACCCCCCTGACGCCCTTTGTGTCCCCGCAGGACATCCAGCACACCGAGGAGTTCCTCATCAAGCCCGAGTCCCGCGTGGCCCAGCTCGACACGTCCCAGTGGCCGCTGCTGCTCAAGGTAGCGGCGCTCCCGGGCCCTTCTCACCGTTGTTCCCGCATCCCGCGGGGATGGATGCCACGGGCCTCCGCCAGCCCCTTCTGTAAACCTTCCCCCGAGGTTTTGTAAACCTTTACCTGCCCCTGGCCTTGGAGGCGGAGGCTGCTGGCAAAATCTCACCGAAACTTCCCTAGTACCGTCATTTCCGTGCAACCCTTCAAGATTATGATACCCATAAAGCACACAGAGCTCGTCCTTATTTTGCTCTCGCCTGGCCCATGCAGATACCTGGGTGCTCTCTACCCGGGTGCTGAGGCACGCTGGCTTTATCCTGCCTTTAAAAGCTTTTCATTCTAGCTGCTTTGATACCTCTCCCTGTGGAGAGTTTGTTCTTCTCTTTATGAAAAGACCATGTGGTTGCATTCCTAGAACATTCCTGATTTGGAAGGGATGCTTCCAGAAACACAAACCAGAGAATGTATAACTAGGGAGCTGTATTAGGGCAAAGCACTGATGAAACTGAGACTCACTGAGCTCACAAACATTTTACTTCTGATATTTTTTGCCTTTTTTTTTTTTTGTAGAACTTTGACAAGTTAAACGTGTTGACTGCACACTACACTCCCCTGCCTTCTGGTGCTAATCCCCTCAAGAGAGAGATCTCTGACTATGTTAGGTGAGTGTAATAACTGCAGGGGCATTTTTAATCTTTCATGGCTAGTATCTCCATGTGACTTTCATAGCAACATCTGACTGCTTTGCTGTGTGACGTTTTATGTTCTGGTCACTTCTTGCTGAGTTTGATTTGTTTTGATTTGTTTGACTTAGTGACAAGTCATTAAGGTTTCCACGCTTGCTCTGTCCTGATGCAAAGTTTCTAATATCCTGCACTTTAGGTCAGGCTTTATTAACCTCGACAAACCTTCCAATCCATCTTCCCATGAGGTGGTTGCGTGGATCCGCCGCATCCTTCGCGTGGAGAAGACCGGACACAGCGGCACCCTGGACCCTAAGGTGACTGGGTGCCTCATTGTGTGCATTGAGAGGGCCACCCGGCTGGTCAAATCCCAGCAGAGTGCAGGTACGTTGGTTACCCTGCGACCACTTCTGGTCTAATTGATGGAGCAGTGCAGATTTTGGAAGCCAAGCTGCAGTTTCCCATTCCTGTCTGCAGTAGGTTTGCTCTTGGTCTTGAGTGACTTAAACCCAAGGATTGTTTACTCATGTTGCTCCAAACCAGTGAGGACATACACATGCTATTGCAAATGTTTTCATTATTTTTTTCCCTCTCTCGGGTTCTTTTGCTGTTTAAGCCAAGGAAAACACTTCTGAGTGACTGGTTTTGTGTGCTACCTGGTCTTGTGGCTCTAGGTGGCCTCATTTTACAAATTCAGTGAAACAACACTTGGTAAAGAAGGACCTCAGTAGCTTTGATTTTTGTTTCGTTGGAAGAATGACCCTAAGAAGTTACTTGCACTGTCTAGGAAAGGTGATTGCAAAGCTATTTGTTGGGCTCTCTAGACATTTGCCTGGCAGCAGCTGCACCTTGAGGTCAACATTAAATGCCAGCGGCCACTCCTGACTGCTCTTGTCGTTCTTCTAGGCAAAGAGTATGTGGGAATTGTTCGGCTGCACAATGCCATTGAGAGTGAGGCCCAGCTGGCCAGGGTAAGTCTCCACACGCCGTTAGCGATGCTGACGCTCCGAGTGCCGAGTGTCCAGCACCCCTGGGACATGAGGGTAGGAATGGAGCTCGGGTGTGCTCTGTACGTGAGGTGATGATGAAGTTTATCCATTCTCTGAGTGCAGCGACGCTGCCCTCCTGCAGCACCCTGGTTCCTGTTCTAGGGGCCGGGTGCTGTGCGGCCTCCAGAGACCCTGCAGTGTCCCAGTGTCCTGCTGGGGGCTGCTGTGGCCTGTGGCCGGCTGCCTGCAGGAGGGGGGTGTCCTGGCAGGGCTGGAGCCCCCTCCGTGGGGGCTGCATCCCCACCGAGATGAGGGATGCTGTCTGATCACGTACTGCCACCTGATGGAAAAGCCCAGCCATGTCTCACTGGCAGCTGGGCAGCATTTGGACCACATCCCTGGTTCATTTTCAGCTTTTTAAAATGTGACCTAGTCAAATGATGATGAACCTTGTGGCTTCTCACTCATGGAAGTGGTTTTAATGCGTGGAGACACTTTAATACTACATTCTCTAATAGGAGAGGCCTGACCTGTTACTTCTGTTTCTGCCCTCAGGCCATAGAAACGCTGACAGGAGCCCTGTTTCAAAGACCACCCCTCATCGCTGCTGTGAAGAGACAGCTGAGAGTCAGAACCATCTATGAAAGCAAACTAGTGGAGTACGACCCAGAGAGAAGATTAGGTAACAGAGCACTGGGTTCTCTCTCTCCAACCATCAGCTGATAAGTTCCCTGTGAAACAGGTTGTTTCCTGTTGCTTGCAGACATAATAAGATAAATTCTTGCCACTATCAAGCAGTAGCTGCTTCTTGTCTTGCTTCTGTGTGCTGAGAAGCAAATCTCACCTATGTGGTGTCTATAGAGCCAAGTCTTTCACTGAAGAGCCAAATGATGTCAGCTAGATGACATTAGCACTCTGTGCAAAGATGACCTTCATCTATCACCCATTGCTGATGGCTCTGTGAGAGGCTGGACACAAAGCTGCTCTCAGAGCTTCTAGATTAGGTCAATTTCTGGATATATGTTTAAATGCTGTTTGCCTGGCCTGTGTTTCAGGTATTTTCTGGGTGAGCTGCGAAGCAGGCACGTACATCCGAACACTCTGTGTTCACCTTGGCTTGCTGCTCGGGGTTGGAGGACAGATGCAAGAGCTCCGGAGAGTGCGCTCAGGGATCCTGGGAGAGAAGGTAAAGTGGTGACTGGCACTGGCTGTTGTGGAATCGTGAGAGTTCCTCAGAACTGTGTCACTTTTACAGGGAGTAAAAGAAAGTATGGCTGTGTGGTGGCTGGGTGAAGTTACCTTTGTGAACAGCCCCCAAAATGTGGGTGTTTTTGCCATGGACGGTTGGAACCAAAGTGTTGAGTTCAGTTCAGGGTGGTTGCCCCTGTTCTGGTAATTAAACTTTGGGACAGTGAATGGCTGGAAACTGCTGTGGTGGCTGAAACTTTCCTTAAGTCACCTGTGTTTTCCAGCCTACAGGCCGAGTTCAGGGACGGGAGCTGTCTGTCTGCTTAGCTCTCTGCTGCCACTTGGTGTCGCAGCGCAGTGCGAGGCCCTTGGGATGTGCTCGGAGGGTGCCAGTCTTCAGTGATCCTGAGCTATTGCCTGGGATTTCATTCTGGGCATAGCTGCATCCCGATGGCAGTCTGAGCTCCAGGAGCAATTTCTCTCCCTGTAGAGCAGGAGTATCCGAGTGCCAGTGCTTCTCATCCGTCTGTGCTCTTCCTGCAGATGTGATCATTTGCAGTTGTTTTGAATTCCAGGTGCTGGATGTGTAGCTTCCACAATTCATAGCATGTCACATTTTGAGGAGCTGATTAGTTTAAGCTTCTACTCCATGATCTCCTTCATCTAGAAGTGCTACATATTTGTGTAAGTTTAAAAGGGCTCTGTCTTTTCAGGACAACATGGTGACTATGCACGATGTCCTGGACGCGCAGTGGCAATATGACAACAACAAGGATGACAGCTACCTGCGAAGGGTTATCCTGCCCCTGGAGAAGCTGCTGACTTCACACAAGCGGCTCGTTATGAAAGACAGTGCAGTAAGTGGCTGAGTTGGTGCCAGTCGACATCTGGAGACTGCAAAGTGCCGCCCTGTGCACCTAGCTGATACAGCACAGAGGGGATCAGGGTCCTCATGCTGTAGAGCATCATGCAGGACTCGGTGTGACCTGCTGCTACGTCAGCAGTAAGATGCAAGAACCCAGAACTGAATGCAGAGCTGGTGCTCTCCTCGCTTTAAGACAACACTTATTAGAGATCTGTCTTGCAGCTTGTTTGCTGGGGCAGGTGCTTTTCTATGCTTGCTTCTCCAGAGCCCTCAAGTTTGTTTCTCATTGTCCATCTTAAAAAACATGTGGGCAGACTGTTGTTGGGGTGGTAATGACTATGGGAAGCTAAAGTGATATGAGGCACTTCTTAAGGTGCAGCAATAGCCTGTAAGGCCTGCTGTTCTCCACCTCCTCAGGTTAATGCCATTTGCTACGGAGCCAAGATCATGTTGCCTGGTGTCCTGAGGTATGAAGATGGCATCGAGCTTAATCAGGAGATTGTCGTCATCACCACAAAAGGAGAAGCCATATGCCTGGGTATGAAGTTCCCTGCTCTTGTGCCTGGCTAAGTGCAGCCATGAGACTGTATTCCAGCGAGTGTGTGACAAATGAGTTCCCGTGCACAAGAGGCTGAAATAGCACTGCTGGTGGGAGTCGTGGGGTGGCCTGGTGTAGCAAGCTGGGATGCAAGGCAGCTAGCACTGAGCAGGAGCATAAGAAACAGCAGATGCATCAGAGCCAAGCTAGGAGCTAGGTACATCCATTGCTTCTGTTAGGGTCATCAGAAATCCTTGCACTCTTATTACCTGTTTTCCCCTGGCCTGGGAGCTGTCTGCTTTGAAGCCAGTCCTTGGCAAGGTGCGAGGGGCTCATCTCTCTCAGCAGTGGAGGCTCAGGTGTGCTCTGTACGTGAGGTGATGATGAAGTTTATCCATTCTCTGAGTGCAGCGACGCTGCCCTCCTGCAGCACCCTGGTTCCTGTTCTAGGGGCCGGGTGCTGTGCGGCCTCCAGAGACCCTGCAGTGTCCCAGTGTCCTGCTGGGGGCTGCTGTGGCCTGTGGCCGGGCAGGAGGGGGGTGTCCTGGCAGGGCTGGAGCCCCCTCCGTGGGGGCTGCATCCCCACCGAGACGAGGGATGCTGTCTGATCACGTACATCACACCTATGGAGGGGATCAGTCTTGAGTGACTTCCAGTGACTTCACAGGAGTTGTCAGGGGTATCTGGTGCCGCACAGCCGGGTGCTGTGGGACTGCAGGGCCTTGGAGGTGAAGCCCTGTGATAAAACTAAGCCGTTCCACCCTGTTGTCAGGAGCTGGAGGAGCCAGCAACAAATAGTAACGTGTCCTGGCAGGCTGGGGAAAAGGCTGCCTGGTGGTTGTGGTGATGCAGGAAGAGCAAGCTTAAAGCAGCAGGGTTATGAATCTGAGCCATTGCAGCTTGGCTGAGTTTTAAGCTATTTGTGGGCTCTTTTTTTGCAGCAATCGCCTTGATGACCACGGCAGTCATTTCTACTTGCGACCATGGAGTAGTGGCGAAGATCAAGAGAGTGATCATGGAGAGAGACACGTATCCCCGCAAATGGGGCCTTGGTCCCAAGGTGAGCAGGGCCGGGGTGCTGTGTTGGGGCCTGGCTGTGGGACTTGGGCACCCTCGGGCAATGCTGGGCCCCTCCAAAAGTCCCGGTGCTTCCCTGGAGCCTCAGCAGAGGCACTGCCTGTGGCTGTGTCAGCTCTGGGCTGGAGGAGAGCCTGGGGTTGAGCTATGTCAGGGAACTGGGCTGTTGCCAGTGATCAGGTTTGAGCTTCTCATGTTTATGTGCGAACCCTCCATAAAGAGCCAAATGATGTCACCTGGATGGCACGAGCACTCTGTGCAAAGATGACCTTCATCTATCACCCAGAGCTGATGGCTCGGGAGGGGCTGGAAAGGAGCTGCTTTTTATTCTCATGAAACTGTGATGGTGCAGAAATGCAGAACTGTGGGAAGAGACTAAATCCTTCCCAAAGGCCGGAAGCAGCAGGAACACCTCTTGTGGGATCTGCATCTCGTTTCTCTCCCCTCTCTACACAGCTGGGTGATGGTTCTTTACTGATGAGAACCTCAGGGAGGAGGAAGCAGGAGGTGGGAGGCTGCTGTGCAGGGGGTTCTTTTTCTGTTAGTTGTCAGGAGGTCCTGGGGGAAGTGTCTAATGAGTAACGATGCGCTTGTTGGCTTGGCCTCTTGTTGGGGTATCTGCTCTTGTGCCATGTGGCTGGACCGCATGGCCAGGCTCCTGCACCTTGGAGCTGCAGCGTGAGGTTTTGTGCTCTGCCTTTAGGCCAGCCAGAAGAAGATGATGATCCAGAAGGGTCTGCTGGACAAGCACGGGAAGCCCAATGAGAACACGCCGGATTCGTGGAAGAAGGAGTACGTGGATTACAGGTGAGCAGAGGGTGATGGGCTCGGAGCGACGTGTCGAGGGGAGGCTCCATGTGGCAAGTGCTGTCCTGGGTGCTGCTGTTTGTGCTTAGGCCGTGGTGGTCCTGGCAGGGTGTCTGGGCTGCCTGTCCCTGCGGGATGCCCTCGCGTTGGGGCATGGCAGGAGCAGACGGTTATCCCGCGGCAGCCTGTGCCATGGCTGCAGAGGGAGTCAGTCTGCTAAAGGAAGCAGGGGAGGCCCTGCCCTTGTCCGGCCCGGCGGGCGCCGGCGCAGGCTGCAGAGCTGCCCTACACGGAGCATCTGCTCCCAACGCTGGACTCTGAGGAGCTGTTGGGAAGGGGAGGAAGCGGCTTTATGTGGCCCTGTGTGAGGCAGCGACAGGCCTGCCTAGTGTGATATTCCTTCCATTTCAGGGATACTGTCAAGAAAGAGGAAGCAGCAGCGCCCCGGTCTATCTCGGAGCCGGAGAGGGTTCCAAAGGTGAGTATCACCAGGGGTGTTTGGGTGTAATCAGGTCTATTTTAGGCCTGCTGAAGACTTTTGGGAGGTACCTTAGCCTTGGGTGGTTGGTAGCGAGCTCTGAATGTTTTGCAGCTTGATTGGGTTGTAATCCTGGAGGGCCGGGCTGGAGCTGGGGGACCCTGGAGCCCATCTTGTGCACAGGGCTGAGCATCGGGGTGCTCCATTTAAGGGCCTCAGCCTCTAGGTGTTTTTCTCCTGGCTGTTGGTGCTGCACTGTGACTCATGTAGCACAATCAGGAGCCATGAGGAGCTCTGGCTTGAGCTGTACTGCTGAAGCATCCAAGGCAGTCTTGGAGCCACAGCAGAGGAATGTTACTTAAGAGGAGCCTCCTGAAGGCCTTGGGCAGTTTTGGAAGTGTCATTTTACAGAGATGCTGCCTCTGACCTTCCCAGGCAGAGCTTCTGCATGGTGTTGGGGGGCACTGCAGCCTTTCAGGCTCTGAATGAAGTATAGGGAGCATTGGAAACTGGGATACAAGCTGAGAGGGGAATGTTATCCAGTGTATGTTGGAAGGGAACTCTGGCTGTTGGTAGCTTGCTTTCCTATTCAGAATGGGCTGAGGGGTTGGATTGAGTCTGTCAACACATTTGGGCTTGTATCAGCCATCCTGTCTTCCATCCCTTGTCCCCTTTTGGGAGATGTCCTGTCTGACGACGTATTCCCCTAACAGAGGAAACGAGAGTCGGACAGTGAGAGCGAGGAGTGCGCGGCCCCGCCGTCCCCTGCCACCCCCCCGCCAGACGAGACGAGCAAAAAGGAAAAGAAAAAGAAGAAGAAAGACAAGAAGGTCAAAGAGGCTGCTGAGAGTGGAGAAGAGCCAATGGAAGTGGTACGTAGCTGGGGACACTTCTGGTGTCCTGTAACAGGTCCTGGTGGAGGGTGGCACGAGATCTAGTGTGACGCTGCTTGTGCTTGTAGTAAACATGTTGTGTGGTGCTTGACTGGGGGGAATTGTGGCCGTGTGCCAGATGCCCCCTCAGAAATGAGCAGTAAGTGATTCTTTTCTTAACTCCTTCCTGCTCTCTCCAACAGGCCTGTGAGAGCAGCACCAAGAAGAAGAAGAAAAAGAAACAAAAAGTAGAAGAGAGCTCTGAATAAGCGACTGGATGTGTCCAAAACAGGCGACCTCGTCAGTGGGGAGGGAGGAGTCTGAGGCCTTGACAAAAAAGGACTGGCCAGCAAGTTCCAAGCTCCTTTTCCACTGTATATATAAGTGAGAGGATGTATTTGTCTGGGGGTGAGCCCTGTTTAGGTACCTCTCCTCATCCTGTTTTAAGGGTAGCCAGAGGAGAGGGCTGCCTGTCTGACTGCCCCGTGAAGCCGGATCCTTGCTGCCAGTAGAAGTGGTTCTGCAGGGAAGTTGCAGCTCCTGGCTCTTGGTGTCTCCATTTTCACTTTGAGAGGGAGGAGTTAACGCTTTCCCCTCTCTTGTCCTGCCTCTTTCTTCCTTCTCTTCCAAGCTCAGAGCTGTTACCCGACAGTCGCAGAATGTGTTGATGTCCAGGATCTTGCCCAGTCATTGCCCATCTGAATGGCTTTGACACGGGGGTGGTTGAATCGGTTATTTTAAGGGCTCTGATTTTAAAGCTCGCCATGTGCTTGGCTTGACCCTCAGCTAGCTGAGATCAAATATTCCGCCAAAGGATATTCTTTGGTACTTTTTTAAAAATTTATCATAAAAAGATCAGAACATGAATTTCCTGCTTTTTTGCTTTATGGTGCAGGGCCCTGCTTGTTTTGTGGGCTGCCACAGTGAGGTGCCCCGTGCTCGCCTTTCTGCTCTTCTGTGCCCAATTACCAGAACGAGACTACAGTGCTCTCAGCTGCCTTCCATCTTTTTGGTATCCAATGTGCTCCAGAGGCTGGAAGCAGGCACACTGCTGGGAGCAGAGCAAGGCGCCCAGGACACGGTGGACTCGTTGGCTCTTCCATGGGCCTCAGGACTGGAGGCCTTTGGGGCTGCAGCCCTGTGGGGGGCACTAGGTACGAAGCTCCTGTGGTTTCCAAATGACCTGTCCCAGTTCCCTGGAGCTGTGCTGAATCTGATCAACGTGTACAAATACCTGAGGGGAGAATGTAGGGAGGATGGGGACAAACTCTTCTCGGTGGTGGCCAGTGACAGGACAAGGGGTAATGGGTACGAATTGAAACACAGGCAGTTCCACCTCCATGTGAGGAAGAACTTCTTTGCTGTGAGGGTACCAGAGCCCTGGCACAGGCTGCCCAGAGAGGCCGTGGAGGCTCCATCTCTGGAGATCTTCAACCCGCCTGGATGGCACCCTGTGCTCTGGGTGTCCCTGCTGGAGCAGGGGGCTGGACTAGGTGATCTCTAGAGGTCCCTTCCAACCTCAACCCTTCTGTGATCCTGTGGTCACTGGGAGCTGGTCTTTATCACAGCAATAGAGCTGAGCTGGGATTTTTGGTGGGGAAGGATCTGGGTTGCCTTATCCTGAGTTTCTATCTTTGCAGAGACCGTAGCATTGTCTTAGCAGTGCTTTTGCCTAATCCTTTTTCCCAAACTTGACTTTTCTCCCTTCTCATGCTCCTTGAAGCATGTGGCCAGTGGGGCCAGCAGCTGGAGGCAGTCAGGAGCTGAGCAGGATTTTTATTTACTCCCTTTTTACATGAAAAATAAAACAGCCCCTGTTTTTCAGTGGGTGGTTCTTGCTCACCTGCCTCCCAGGATCCTTTTTGCCCCTGACCTGTCTTATCCCAGCATCCCCAGCTTGGGGAGGTGGGAGCAGAGCTGCCCCTGGGCTGCAAATCACGAGCCACGGCCACGTTTCAGCACACGTTTATTGCTGCTCAGGGATTCCCTGCTGTGGATCCGAACAAAGGTCCCTATTGCACATGAACGGATTTTATTTTTGGCATCCTTAAAAACCTGCACGACTCGTCCCAGCGCCCTTCCCCTCTCCCATAGCTGAACACGTGGACGAGATCCTCTCTCCAACACGATGGCCATGGTTTGCCAGGAGCTGCAGTGAAGCCTGGGCAGCGTCACTGTTGGGTCACTCCTGCATCCCAAGGAGTCCCCTTGTGTGGGTGGTTTATGGTCGCATACAGTGTATGAGACACCCTAGATTCTGGAAAACATGCCCGGATGATCATTGTAGAGACACCGTTTCTACTGCATGCAAGGGGTAACTTACTGGCTCTAATTTACTTAATGAACTGTTCCTCCAGGGTTCGGTCTGTGAGACTTAACTCAGCTGCTGCTGAATTTTTCTGTCCAGCCTGTAGCAATTGGAGTTGCACAGTGAGAATTTAAATAGAGGGATTTTTTACAAGTTACAGTTGCACAGGGTGAGTCACAAGCCCCAGACTCCTGGGCCCAGGGGGAGCCCTGCCAGGGGACAGTGCACTCCGAGCCTCCCGTGTCACATCCCGGTCACATCCCCTGCTTTCCGGGCTCGGAGGAGAAACCCTTGTGCTTGGGAGCGCATGGCCAGGATGTCACAGGATGTCTTCCAGGGAGCCCCTTGGGCTACAGCTTCCCTAGGGACTGATGCAAAGTCCGGGTTGACAGGAGGTCGCTGCAGGGTTGTGCTTTTTCCGTGCCTGGTGAGGCAGGAGCTGCCCTGGCACCGGCTCTGTGCTGCGCTTCCCAAGGAGAGGAGACCCCAACCCCTGTGCATGGCAGCCCAAGGAGCCCGTGTCCATGGAATGGAGGCAGGGAGATGTGCGGGGCGCTATGGACGGGGGAGCCGAGGAGGAGGAGGCTGCTCTTCCCCTCGTTCCTGCAGGTTGGCCGGGGGGAAGCGGCTGAGCGCGGGCGCGCTCAGTACACCCAGGACACGGGCACCCACTGCGGGGAGCTGCACGCCTGCTCGAAGGCGTCCTGCAGCAGCCGCAGGCTCTCGTCCACGCCGTTGTTGACCAGCGACAGGTCGAAGTAGTGCGCGTAGCGGCTGCGGATGCTCTCCGAGTCCTTGCGGAGCTGCTGCAGAGCCTCCTGCTGCAAGGAAGGGGACAGGGCTCAGGACGGCAGCTGTCGCGGGGACGGCAGCAATAAGCAGGTCCCCTGGGTCCCTCTTTGGCCCTGTGTTGTCCCCTCGAGTAAGCCGATACCCGAGCTGCGCCGGGCGGCTAAACATAGCGCGTCCACCAGCCCTTCCTGCTGCAGCAGGAGCCCATTCCCCTCCCTGGGGCTGCAAGCAGCGCTTGGGCACGGGGCTCTTTGCAACCTCCCAGGGTGGCACCAGCAGTGACAACAGACGGGGCTCCCAGGGACAGGGCTAGGGGTGCCAGCCCCTCACCATGAGCCCCATGTCAGGGCTGGCCGTGTCCCAGGGACAAGGATTGGGTGGGAGCAGGAACTGGGGGGTGCTACAAGCTGCTGGTACCTCCCCTGCCTATTTCTGTCTCCTGAAGGTGCTCTGTTCCCCAAACCAGCGCAGCGGAGGAGGATGCTGAGCCCAGCCCTGGAGCAGGGAGAGCCCAGGGCTGCTGCTCGGGCTTCTCTCCCTGGCTTTAAAACACAGGGACAGGTTGAGGCTGGCAGAGGGGGACACTCACCTGCTCCGCCTTGTCCGTGGGGGCAATGAAGACGATGAACGGGGAGAGCTCGGCCGTGCGCACAATCTTGAGGGTCTGCGGAGAGAGCGGGTGGCGACGCTGGAGTGAGGCCCCTTCGCGGGGCAGGGACGAGCGGGGCCCGCGGGGGACAGCAGCTCGGCCAGGGCCTTCGGGCTTTGCTGGCACTTCACCAAGGACCCCCCCTACCTGGGGCTCGATGTCCAGAATGGCAACTTTGTCCTGCTGGTGGATCTTGTGCACGGTCTCGAACTTAGTGCCAAACATGTTGCCTTGGTAGCTTCCGAACTCCAGGAACTCGTTGGCCGAGATGTCCCGGGTCATCTCCTCCGTGGAGACAAAGTAGTAGTCCTTCCCGTCCACCTCGTTCTTCTTCTGCGGACGCGTGGTGTCTGGGGAGGCAGGGAAAAGCCCAGAGCTCTCAGGGGCTGCTGGTCCCCAGGGGGAACTGGGATTGGGACCGGGACAAGGACCCACACGGGGGCATCTTTCCCACCTCCCGCCGCATCCACTGGCCTGTACTTACACGGCGCCGGGTACATGAACTTCTCGGGGTTGTTGCTGAGCAGGGCGTTCTTAATGTGGCTGCGTCCCACGCCGCTGGCCCCTGGGGGGAAGGGGATGGATGGAGGTGCCGGCTCCGAGCAGGAGGCCACGGCCCCTCTGCGGCCCCCACGAGCGGCAGAGCCATTTGGCTCTAGCAGAGAGTCACCCCAAGATATTTAGGAGCCAGGGACCCTCCTGACTGGCCACCCATGAGGTCGGTGCTGGCAGGACCTACCTATGAGCACCAGCGTCTTCCTCTTGAAGGCGGGCAGCCTCACCACCTCCTCGTAGGACACCACATCCAGCTGGTCAAAAACTGGCGCCGAGGACAGAGAAGGGGGTCAGAGGACACATGGAGCATGTGTGCACGTGTGTGCACATGTACCAACTGGCAAAACCCAAGGAGAAGCCAGGGCTGGGAGCACGGAGCCAGCTGGCAACCCAGGAGCAGGACCCGGCCTCAGCAAGTGGCTTGCGGAGGAGCAGCCGCGTTGCTGGTCCGAAGGCCGGCGCTTTTCTCCCCCTTATTCCACTGTACAGCCCACAGCGGCGGAGGAGCTCAATTTATCTTGCTGATTTACAGCCTTGTTTGTCAGAGCCTGGAGCTCGGGCTCGGAGCCAGCACGTCCTGAGGCCGCCGTCTTGGCTGACCCGGCGCTGGCCCGGGCGGGAACGTCAATGTGGGCGCTCACCGCTCGCCGCAAGGCCAGGACTTGTCCCGGAGCTCAGCGGGCAGGATGAGCCCTCTGGAGAAGGGACCCTCGCCCAAAAAAAAGGCTGCCAGCCCTGGGGTCCCACTGCCAGCGCGGCCGCTCGGGCTAAACCGTCGGGGCAGCCCAGACGCCAGGGTGAGGGCCACCACCCCGCTCACGCTTACTTGAGCTGTGCTTGGCCAGGTATTTATCTTTGCACTTCTTTTTCTTCCCGAAGGGGCTGCAGCTCTGGGCTTCGCTCTGGCTCGACTGGGTGACACTCGCCACGCGCCTGCCGAGAGAGGAGGAACCGCCATGGGGGACCCTGCGCATTGCCGGGAGCGGGATTCCCGGCCCGGAACCTACCATTCCTGCAGCTCCGGAGAGGGGATGAGGCCGGCCGCCTCAGTACAGGACCCCTCCACGCGGCCCTGCCACCAGTTGCTGTCGTCCTTGTTGATGATCTGGATGACGTCGCCCGTCTGGAACTTGAGCCCTGCCTCCTTGCAGGGGATCAGGGTGTCCTTCTTGGGGTCGTAGTCGAACTGGGCCCTCATGAACATCTGCAAGAGAGATAGAGACAGGGCCGGGTCAGAGGCACGGGCTCTCTGAGGCCCCAGCAGCGTGTTCGGCCTCTCCACAATCAGCTGCTCTCATGGAGCCAAATGCATTGCATCGTCTGCAAATGCATCGTGGTTTTAGCTGCAAATGCACTGCGGTTTTTGTCTGCAAATGCATCGCAGTTTTATCTGCAAATGCATTGCGGTTTTAGCCATAAACACATTGCAGTTTTGTCTGCAAATGCATCGCAGGTTTACGAGGGCTGCCCAGGGCTCGCACATGCAGACCTTGTTTTCCAGGAAGGCCGTTCAGGAAGAACCGAGCAGCAGGATGGCCGGGGATCACCTCACCCTGGCTGGGGGACAGGCTGTTTTCTGCACTGCTGCTTGCTTGCGGAACCCAGAGCAGCAGCTTTTTGGCTGAAATGCAGCCGCAGTTACCTCTGGCCTAAGTGCTGGGCAGGATGGGGCCAGAGCAGCAGGACAGGCCAGCTCAGGCCACCAGACCCTGCCAAGAGAGGCAGCCTCAGCAGGGCCACGGGAATGGGGGCCTCCCTTGAGTACCTCCATGGCGAGTTGGTCATCCCGAATTGCAGCACGTCGCAACGCTGCCAGCCCAGCCCGTATAGCCCCTGCTCTCTGCTCTGGGACGGATGACCTGGGTGAGCTTCAGCATCCCCATCCTGGTGCTGAGGTATCTTTGCCTCTGATGCCGATTGTAGCTGGGACAACGACGGGCAGCAGGGAAGGGCAGCCGCAAACCAGTGCTTAATAAACCCAAGCGAGGTGGCAGGAGGTGGCTGAGGGACAGCCTGGTGCGAGGGGGAGGCAGGGGCAGCACTTGGGGACTTAGTGATGGCTGAGAGAAGGAAGGGGAACCGTGGGCTGGCGCATCCCAAGTGCTCTCCCACCGCCCCGGTCCTCGTGGAGGGGCTGTGCCTGGGCAGGACAGTGTCCCAGCCCCATAGGGAGACAGGCAAGTCCTCCCCACTGCCCCGAGCCGAGCTCAGGGCAGCTTCTTTGCCCAGAGGAGGGAGCAGCAGCAGGTCCCCGTGCTGCAAATGCAGGCACCCGCCGCGGCAGCGGGTTGGAGGAGCCGCTTCCTCCTCCGCGGCGCCTCCTTCCTCCCCTACGCGCTGCTCGCGCACGGCAGGAGCCACGTCACCGCGACGGCGCAGGAGCCACGGCCACCGCCGAGCTGGGATGCGGCCTCGGGGCTCTGCGAGGGCAGCAGGACGGTCCCCAAAAGCGGGGGGACCGCAGGGTGTCCCCATGCACGTGGGCTGGACGCAGCCATGGCCAAGCAGTGCACTTAGTTGCAAGGACAAGTCTCTGCAGCAACCCCATGTCCCTCCCTCGTCACAAGGCAGCTCTGGTCCCGCTCCTGGCTCTGCTCCCACGTCACAGCCTGGCCAGCACGCTTGGGCCCTGCACTTACCTGGAGAGCAGGAAGGCGGCTTTGCTGGTTGGGAATGACTTTTATTGAGACCGTCCCCTTGGTTTCTTTCTAGCAAAGAAAGGAAGGGGAGAGAAAGATGTGTTGGAGGAGAGGGACTGCAGCCACCCCACCTGCAGCAACCTGCTCCAGTCCCTGCTCCGGGGAGCCGGTGTCCGCAGGGCTCCCGGTGCTCCCGGCTGTGCCAGGCTGCTGCGGGCACCGGGAGCCCAGGCAGACACGGCTCTGCCGGAGCTGCATTAAATGCAATGCAGCTTAGCTGTCCTGCACTGGTGCCTGTCCCCAGGGGTGACACCAGCCCCCCCCCAGGTGGGGACCCTGCAAGTAAGACCCCCTGGAACTGCCCCCTAGCAGGGTCAGGCAGCACCCCCATGACCCGAGCGGCAGGGACACGGCACGAGCGGGACCTGCAGGAGGTCTCTGCACCCACACGGTCCCTTCCAGCCCTTCTGGCGCTGGCCCAGGCGGTACCTGC